GAGGAAGCAGCCACAGCTTCTCTGGGCATCAGCAACTTCTCTGTGTCATCAGTGATAGATAAACTAATAGACAAAGCTCAATCCATACCCTTGAAATAATCACTTCTATGAATCTGCTGCTTTGTCCAAAAAGAAGATAGATGAATACTTGTAACATAGGAAGAGGATTAAGCACAACATGGACTTGAGTTGAGCCAAGGTACTTTGTAAATAGAAATTTTCTTTAAAGATAGTTATTAAACCATTGCAAGGTAATAAAAGCAAGTAAGTATTTTGCACAAGTTCTTAATGTATTTCCTCGTATACTTGTTACACTTTGTAAAGAAGAAAATGCTGATATGTCAAAGCATTTTCCATGAAAGTTAATTTCTCATATTTAAGGTTTGTCTTCTTATCATCTGCCTATGTTTTAGTTCCTCTTTAGTCGTTCATTATTTCCTGGAGGGAAATTTTCCCTGGCACCACCCAATTCCTTTAATTTGCCAAGGATCCTGTGATAAGATAGATAACAGTAGAAGTGAGGTGAAATAAATACAGAATAGCTTAGGTGGCAGAGGCTTGAGCACAAACCCAAAGTCCAAGTTCTATTACGGGGAGCATCCTCAAGTCCCCTGAAACTCTGAGCTTGCATCCCCGTGGAGTAAACACAGCCTTCTCATCTTGTTTGTCCCTTCAAGGTAACCTGAACAGTGTCACATACACAAGTGTAGCTCAGAAGGCAGAGGGGTGAGCTAGGAGCCCAGGGGTCTGGCATTTTTCTTTCTTAGTCCTGGGAGTGTTAGTAGTTCATTCAAGATCCTCTCAGCATTTTCAGACTCGTGTCTTGATCCTATTTTCATAGCAAAACAAAACTGTCAGAAAAGAAGTGATGTGAATCCAGGAACCATAATACACTCATTGCCCTGACTTGGCATAGAAAAAGATGAAATGCATATTCGTGCCACTGGATATGAGAAGCTCCCTTCACCATGATATCCTTATGTAATGAAAAGGTCAACAAATGCAATAGAAACACTTACAGAGAAGGTCCCTAAAGGTAAATAGAAGTAAGCATTTAAAGCTTTTACAGTTTTGTTGACATTTTGGTTTTAACTTGGACAGTTGAATTCTGAATCACTTGTCTGCTTGCAATCTTGAAAAAAATGTGATCTCAAAAAAAGGAAGAAAAGAATTGTCAATATTTTTGAAGTCTCATTATTTCTGTAGAAGTATGTAATATATATCTATATTAAAAAAGCCAGGCTAAGAGGGTAGACTTACTCACTTGGTCCTCTTATGAGCTATGCAACTTTCATCATTCTGGAAAATAGTGGCAAGGAAAAGATAGAAATCATTAATCTCAAGAGCTCCATGTGAGTGTTGCTTCAGTGTTTAAAAATTGGTTTTAGCATTCTGGCATTTTATATTATCTGAGTCAAGAAAGCTGCTTAACTCTCCTCTTTTTGCTGCCTTCTCAGAAACTGAAGGCTCATTTGAAGGTAAGGTGATTAACTCGTCCAAATTTTCTCTCAAAACAAGCTACTGGTCTAATGACCTCTTATTTCCACATATTTTTATAAGGATTATAGGTATAAAAAATAGTTATCTGCAAAAGAAAAAAAATATTAGATATTCCTCAGTTTACCTGTCCTAGTAAGGAATAGGAGAAATTGGTAGACTGATACTGGAGTTGCCAATGCACCCTTTGGAGGGAAAAGTCTTACTTCACAAATCAGATGAAGTAACTGGCTCAGTCGTGGATGCAGGCAAGTGGCATCTGGTCAACCTAGTACAACTTTTTATTCTAGAAAATTTGATCATGTTTCTCATGAATTGTAACTTTTGTGGAATAAGATAGTTGGACCTGTCAGAGGTTGATAATTGTTTAAAATAAATAATATTGTTAACAACGCAAAATTATTGAGCATTAGCTATGTTGAAATCTACCTGCAGAAAGTTGTGGAAAGATGTCACAATGCTGCTTGCTTTGTGAAAGGGCAGATGAAACAATATCAGTGAGCTTAGTTCTACCTACAACCTAACTGTATATGTGCAGAAGGAATTGTAAATTAACTACTGTCACTGAGGAAATAGATCTGGCTGTCATAGGTTTGATGTTTTTATAGAACTGTGTGCAATGTCTTATGGCAGTCAAAAAAGCTTCTAGAGTTCTAGGAAGCATTGAGAAAGGAATTGGGGGGGGGGGGCT